AAAATCTTTTGCTTGTAAATACACAGGATAGGGGTTGTTAATTAACAATCAAAGAAACCAGACATTCAGATTGAAAAACCCCCGAAATGATATTAAGGAAATAATTACTCATGCGGCAGACTTGCCGCATACTCTTTCAGTATGATGAAGAGTCTGCGGCAGGTCAGGCACGTCTGCCGCAGACTCTTCATCATGGATATTCATAGAAAAGGCTATAACAAAGAGTCTGCGGCAGATCTGCTACAGACTCCTTTATCATGAATATTCATAGAAAAGGCTATAACAAAGAGTCTGCTGCAGACCTGCCGCAGACTCTTCACATGAATATTCATATCTCATATAGACCTGCTGCAGACCTGCCGCATACTCTTTCATATCCAGTACGTGGCAATTAATTATGCAGTCTTGCAGGAAGGCTATGCTGGAGAGCATGCATTGCATCATTACATTCTAGCGGTAACCCGACACATGCTCCGCCGACGATTGCTCCGCCGACATTTACTCCGCAAAACGCGACAATTGCTCCGCGACATTTGCTCCGCGACATTTGCTCCGACGTCAAATGCTCCGCCGACAGTTGCTCCGCCGACAGTTGCTCCGCCGACAGTTGCTCCGCCGACAATTGCTCCGCCGACAGATGCTCCGCCGACAATTGCTCCGCCGACAATTGCTCCGCCGACAATTGCTCCGCCGTCAACTGCTCCGCAAAACGCGACAATTGCTCCGTCGACATTTGCTTCGCCGACATTTGCTCCGCCTGAAGCGACAATTGCTCCGCCGACATTTGCTCCGCCGACAATTGCTCCGCCGACAATTGCTCCGCCTGAAGCGACAATTGCTCCGCCGACATTTGCTCCGCCGACAATTGCTCCGCCGACAATTGCTCCGCCTGAAGCGACAATTGCTCCGCCGACATTTGCTCCGACGACATTTGCTCCGCCCAAAAAGTGTCCCATAAACTACAAATGCTACTAGTACTACGACAAATGCTTCGCCGACAATATTTTCTTTACACCTATTTTTTTCGTTTCTTTTTTTCTTCTTCATTTTCTGAATGCATTTCTTGAAATAATGTAGATGAAATGAAATAAATGAATGATGATGAAGTGAGAGGAAAAAGGAGTTACCTAAAAGTCATTTCGAATATACTGAAATAACTTTCCATCTATCACTGTACATCCCATATAATGTATACTAAACACTCATTACATGTCGTGGGAAGTTTTAAAAAAAAAGTAGAGCAGCAAGCCACATTCCCCAATACGCGCATACCTCCTAGTTAATTTCAAGTAGCTCATCAATATGTAATACCTGAAATTACCTCGATCAATGCATCTTACTAGGTAAAGCATTATACAATGTAATAGGTCATCATGGAAGTTTAGAAAATAAGTAAGGGGGATTTACCAAGTGTTGATCTTTTTAAGAGTTTTATAAAGAAACAAAAAGATATTGAATATTTCTCAGCGAAAAAAAGGAACAAGCTTGTTTCGCATTTTAAGAAATGGCGATTTGACTTATGATACTCATGTTGATTTAACTTTTATTCCTGTGCCCCCTCACTCCCCTTTATGCACTGGAGTTCAAACTATGATTTATATGTGTACAGTGTATTTTTTTTTACTATAATGTTTTTTTTTTATAACTTTCTTGTCCTTTCATTATTGTTAGTTGTTCTTATATACATATTGTTTTTTTTGTTTGTCTAATTATTACCAATGACTTGTAAATATGTAATTTTTATATGATTGAAAATTTAATAAACACACAAATATTTAAAAAAAAGTTTAGAAAATAAGGGCACTTATATACGTAAGGAAGAGAACCCATTCAGACGGGAAAATGAGATGGCAGCCTTTCTGCTTATTCACATTTATACAAATCATTTTGTTGCAGTTTGATGTTAGTTCTTCATGATAAGCCAATTGCTCTTCTTCCGGTGGCTTCGTGAGTCCCTTAAATTATTTAGTGAAAACAAAGTACTCGAATGAAACGGAGTGTTTTGCACACTAACATATATATATTAAAGCTACATACACTTAACTAAAGGAAAGAAACCTTTAGAAAATGGACTGGATATTATTGGAAATATTATTCTAAACAAGAATGTACTACATGATTGTATTACTTTACGTTTCAATTTCACGAGAGAAATAGAACTCGAGAGGGGGAGCAGAGAAGAAGTGATGGAAATGAAAGAAGACTAATAGCATGAGAGGAAAGAAAAGAGCAAAGAAGACAAGAAAACGGTGTAAACAGGAAAAGGAGGAGCATGGGAGAGAGAGAAAGAGAGAGAGAGAGAGAGAGAGATAGCCTTGAGCTTTGGATCAGCTAATGAGTAATACATGAAGCAGATTTTGAGCGGAGTAATTATCTTTCGCCGGAGAACTTGCGTAAGGAGCTATAATTTTATTTTTTATTTTTTTAAATCAAACATTATGGGGAATAGCAAAAAACGGTTGTCTTTTTTGCTCTTTTCTTTCCTCTCATGTTATTAGTCTTCTTTCATTGAGGTAATTTCAGGTCTTGCATATTGATGAGCTGTTTGAAATTAACTAGGAGGTATGCGCGTATTGGGGAATGTGGCTTGCTGCTCTACTTTAAAAAAAAAAAAACTTCCCATGACATGTAATGAGTGTTTAGTGTACATTGTGTGGGACGTACAGTGATAGATGGAAAGTTATTTCAGTATATTCGAAATGACTTTTAGGCAACTGCTTTTTCCTCCCACATTATCAACATTCATTCATTTCATTTCATTTACATAATGTCATGAAATGCATTCAAAAAATGAAGAAAAAAAGAAAGAAACAAAAACAACCCGTGAAAAAAAAATATTGTCGGCGAAGCATTTGTCGTAGTACTAGTAGCATTTGTATTTAATGGGACACTTTTTGTCGGCGGAGCAAATGTCGTCGGAGCAAATGTCACCGGAGCAAGTGTCGCTTCATGCGGAGCAAATGTCGTCGGAGCAATTGTCGGCGGAGCAAATGTCACCGGAGCAATTGTCGCTTCAGGCGGAGCAATTGTCGGCGGAGCAATTGTCGACGGAGCAATTGTCGGCGGAGCAAGTGTCGCTTCAGGCGGAGCAAATGTCGGCGGAGCAAATGTCGGCGGAGCAATTGTCGCGTTTTGCGGAGCAATTGACGGCGGAGCAATTGTCGGCGGAGCAATTGTCGGAGGAGCAATTGTCGGCGGAGCATCTGTCGGCGGAGCAATTGTCGGCGGAGCAACTGTCGGCGGAGCAACTGTCGGCGGAGCACCTGTCGGCGGAGCACCTGTCGGCGGAGCATTTGACGTCGGAGCAAATGTCGCGGAGCAAATGTCGCGGAGCAATTGTCGCGTTTTGCGGAGTAAATGTCGGCGGAGCAATCGTCGGCGGAGCATGTGTCATGGAACCATTCTAGCACCTTGAATTAGTAGAAACAGCTAAAACAGGCGGAATTGCTTCAACAATTCTACAAATATGGGTTTAACACAATGCAGAAGTATAGGTAGAGGAATAGAAATACAATAACTGCATACACACAGTCCAGAGTACAGTCACAGATCCATGTGCTAGTAACAACAAAAAAGGGCTTACATCGAAAGGGTGCGGTGCGGCGCGGTGTGGTGAGTTCAACGCACCCATTCGATAAAAGGCCCCCCGCTTTTCTCGAAAGGATGTGTTGAGAATGGAGGACCGTTTTAGCACACCCTTTCGAGAAAAGAGGGGGATCTTTTCTCGAAAGGATGCGTCGGCTAATCTTTCACATCAGTCGTCTTAAAATGTTTAAGGAATAGAAATGTCGTTTTATAACTTGAAATAATCAAAATAGAAACTACTTTTTGCGTAGTCTTGCAGATCAGGCATTTATAAGAATTAAATCAGTAAATAAAAAGAAACACAATGACACTCAGTGTGCTGATCCTATAAAAGCCCCAACCCCCCTCCCCCCTCTGTCTCTCAGGCACGGATCCAGGGGGTCAAACGGGCCTTGCCTCCCCACCCACCCCCCCCCCCCTCCCCCCGCGAAAAAAGAGAAAGAGAGAAGGAAAAGAAGGGAAAGGGAAAAAGGAGAGAAAGGGAAAGAAAGAAGAAAAGAAAAGGGGAAGAATGAGACCGGGGGCGAAAGGGCCTTGCGTCGCAGGCTGTTGCCTCCCCTCCCCCTTACAAAAATAAGAAAGAAGGAAGGAAAAGAAAAGAAAAAAGGAAAAGAGCAGATGAAGAAGAAAAGAAAAGAAGAGGGATTTCAGTTGCAATTTTCTGGCCAACAAAATCGGGATCGGGAGGGGGGCAAATGGCCCTTGCCTCCCCCCCCCCCTGCCCCCGCTAAAAAGAAGAGAGAAGGAAGGGAAAAGGAAAGAGGAGAGCAAAAAAGGAACAAAAAAGAGAAAGAAGAAAAGAAAAGGGTAAAAAGAAGGGGAGATCAGTAGCGGTTTATCCCACCAACAACATGTGGATCGGGGTGGGGGCCGAAAGGCCCTTGCCTCCCCTATCCCAGCAAACCTAAAAGAGGGAGAGAAGGAAGGGAAGGGAAAGAGGAGAGAAAGGGAAAGAAAAAAAAAGAGAAAGAAGAAAGGTAAGGGAGATCATTTCCAATTTACCCATTAACAAAGTATAGATCCGGGGTGGGGGAGGGGGCGGGGGAACACTGGCGTACTGATAGGGGAGAGGGGACTTGTGGGAAATAACATTCAAATGTGGTTTATGTTTAATTCCATAACGGTGATTTACAAATAATGCTGAAATGACATAATTTCCGAGATTTTTCCTCACTCTTTAGTAAATTATACTTTTTCAGGCGTTTTTTGGAAAATTTGCAGTCAGGCAAGAAATATGTTTTTTTGAGTTGCCTACATGTCATGGCCCGCAAAACGGAGGGGATCGGAAGCCTCGAGCCACCCCCCCCCCCCCAACTTATTTTGAAAAAGTATATTAAAGAGAAATAGGAAGAAAGAGAGCAGATGATGTTTCACAAATCTCTTTGACTCGCATGTTCTTTTATTTTCTTTTAAAGGTAAAGAAGACCAACAGCATGGATGCTTAAAACAGCCGTCTATTTGTCTGAGAAGAGGTGCTGATGCTGAAGTACATGTAAAGACCAATCACACTTTGATGATGATCATACTGTATCAAGTCTAAGAAAGCGGAAGGGCAGATGTTGCATCTTCTCCAGAGAATCAAGGAACCTGATTTTTCTGTCGCTGATACCACTCCAAAGCCAGTGTTCACTGCAGTATTGCAGCAAATAGTAATGCAACAAGAAAGAACCATGAACAGCAGTTGTACAGTTCAATACTGGTAGATCTTTTCTTTTGTAAGAATTTACCTATACTGCTGGACAGGATTTTTAAAATTTAACCTTCTGTTACTTTGAATGTTAGTTACTTCCAGATTTGTAGAATCAGTATATTAATGCACCAAATAACAATCAAGTCTTTCCCTTTTTGAGCTTGTTAATACATGATTATTTGATGTCCTGGGAAAATGTTAGGATACAGGATGTGTTAGAGCTGTAGATGTCTTGAGGGAGGAAAGAGGGCATCTTGTCCTCAGGGCAGTGCAGTAGTTGAGCACCAGTCTTCCTTGAGAATAACCAATGCAAGTCTGAGACACAATAGAAGTCAAAATGGTTGGTCAACTGAGATTCAAGCCGCACATTGACCATTGGGAAGGAGATGATGAAGTAACATTTTATGCTGCTAATGTCCAAAGACCTTGTGATTTGAGTGACCTAGCAGCCGCTTCCTCCTCCTCGTCATCCTCCTCAAACTCTAGTTCTTCAGATCTCTCTGGAAGTGGAGACGGCTTGCAGAACAGCAATGCCGCCAATGAGGTGTTGGATGCTCTACGCTCCAGGTCAGATTCGTGTACTTTCTCTGAGAGTAAAGATGTGAAGGTGCACCCCTTCATGCTGAGGATAGGCAAGATCATCTCCAACGTACCCTTCAGTGTGGGTACTCTTGTCACTGTAAGTGCAGTATCTTTTCTCTTAGGGACACTGGCTGTTATGGTTGTCAAACCCTCGCCTCAATGGGACAAGTCACTCAACGCATTTCAGATTCCTAATCATTTGTCCACTCTCAAACGTGAGATGCTTGAATTAGCTCAGAAGGATAACCACGTTCCGAAGAGACCTAAGCGAAGCACGTTTGAGCCTCCGGCTAGATTAGGTGAATTGGACTTGAAAGATTCTACCATCAAGGAATATGAAATCGATTTCAAGCACATGAGCAATGTCCACAAGAGACATATCAAGACAAAGCTGAGCTATCGCAAAGAGGCAGGGGTCGACCTTCCAGAGAATTCATTCAATCCCATCCATTCTGATCATCTCTTGAATATCAACAAGAAATTAGTGCATCGCAATCAACAACTCATCAAAGACAATAACCAACTCGTGCAAAAGGATAAAAAACTTCAAGTTAACAGTGCCAACCAAAACACAAACAGCGCAAATAAACGCAGCTCAAGTGTAAGCAACTCCAACACTTTGAAAGAAGACACGCAGCGGCACAGCATCAAGAGGCGTTCTGCAGGACTCGTGCCCCAGGCCCACTCCTGGCGTCTGCAGCTGGTCTACATGGCAAAGGGGGAGGACAAGAACATCTTCACACCTGAGCGACTTCAGACAATCCATGACATTGAGATGGACATCATGAAGCAGCCAGGCTTTACACGATTCTGTTCCCGGTCTTCCCATTCTATTGATGATCCAGCATTAGCCAGGTTTGGCCACTGTCTACCTCCAAACTCTCTCATGACGTACTTCTTCCCCACTCAAGTTGGTGACATGGTGAGTGTTTGATATAATAAAATAGTTTAGAAATTTAAAGTTTTATAATCTATACCGAAGTCAACAACAAAAAAACTAATACCTCTGCTCACTCTTGTACATTGTTGTATTTATCGAAACAGGACTAATGAATGATAATATCTCACCTTGAAGGGAAAGACTTCGAAACATGGTAATCAAATGCACATTTTCTTGCACCTTTGGGTATTTAACCTTGATGAATATACAACCACATGAAGCTACATTGTAATTCAATATACAGCTCCAAGGCTGTTGATTAGATTCAAGAGATTCAAGATTCCTTTCTTTCTTTCCACTGACATGAAAACAATACATTCATGAACAGTAACAACTAAGGCTGTGCACAACAGTGTAATGAGGTACCCGAGTACGCTCCCAGGCTTACAAGCGAATACTCGAATATTTGTACGCCATGTTTTTTTATAATTTTTTTGATTTTTTAAATTTTTTTTGATTATTATTATTATTTTTTTTTGGTTGCCACTACCATACCACTGGAGCAGTATCTCAGCTCTGTCGCTGAAAATGCATGCAATTTTACCTCAAGTTGCAGTTGAAGGCGCCGATTTAATAATACTAATAACAGTAAACAATGCTGTTTTAAAAACCAAAGATGGCAGAATAATCCATTTTCCTCCAAGTCCAAACAGAAATCAGGACATTTGGTCCCAGTTTTAAGGTGCTTGAGTTGGGAAACATTTTTACCGACAACACCGTGCCAGCGGCCGCCGCTCTTTTTTTTTGCGGCCGAATATTTGAGTACCGGTAAGAGAAATCATACTTGAGTAGTTGTCAACAGTGCGGGTACTCGAGCATTTGACGACTCGTCGCAGCCCTAGTAACAAGAAGTTCATCGTCAACAAGAATAAATTGATGAACAATAACAAGAAAGTTATAAAGACATTGAAAATGTGAAAAAGAGGGGGTCTGTAAAAACGCACATCTAGTTAAACACAGATCACCTTTACAAGAACAACAACAAAAAAGATTTAAAAAGAAGTAATAGAAATAACGGGAATGGGAAATGTGAACAAATGTACAATACAGGGGGAGGGGGGGCTAACAATACTAATCTATTTACCTTTACTGAATATAAATAAATATAAGATCTATCACTAAATTATAGAATAGGGTAGATTTAAAAAAAGGAGCAGAATGATGATAAGTGAATAGTAAAGAATAGGGGAAGGTGAATAAATGTACAATACAGGGGGGGGGGGGGGGACAAACAAAGCTAAACCAGTTACCTACAATACTGAATGTAAATAAATGTCAGATCTATCACTAATTTTAAAAGGTGGCTATTATGAGTTAGAATGGCAAAAGGTGGCTATTATGAGTAAGAATGGCAATTAAACACTCTGTATCATGAACCGAACGCGTGTTCACAGAGGAAAAAAAATATACCTTAAACATCTACATTATGTACATGTATGCAGGAAATGTCAGCCTGAAAATATTTCATATGTAGTGAGCATGTTAATACAATGGATAATTTGATGATAACTATAAAATACGTACTACAGCAAATTAAATCACATTTCACTGTAGGTGTATAGCAGACGAAACGTCAGTTTAAAGACTGCCTGATACCCACTCACAGTCAACTACCTCTAGGACAACTACCCCCTAGGGCAACCACCCTCTAGGACAGCTACCCCCCCCCCCCCCCCCCCCGGACAACTATCCCCAGACAACTACCCCCCAGACAACTACCCCCCAGACAACTACCCCCTAGGACAACTACCTGCTGGACAGCTACCCCCAGACAACTACCCCCTACAACAACCATCGTCTAGAAAATATACCCCCCCCCCCTGACAACTATCCTAGGGAGAAGTTGTCTTTGGTTTTAATAAACCATGAAATTCACTCAGCAAATCATGAATGTATCATATCACCCTCAATTTTGTATGCTCCAAAGGATTTACCTCTCACAAATTGGAAAGCTAATTCCTACGCAACCTAATTTCCATACCCTTTACAAAAGTGAGCAGTGCTCACCCAAGCATGAATTATTTTCAGACTTTTTTGTGTCATATGAAAGTTGAGTTTATGAGCTTTCCATACATATAAAAATTTTCCCCCAAGAATATTATATTTTTTATTCGGCAGCCATTTCAAAAGTGTATAGTTTTTTTGGGGACGCACTGTATATCAGGTATGGAGCTAGACAGAGAAGCACCAATGTTAGAAAAATATTTATTAAATGCTTCACAGTTCACACATAAGTTTCTTGTCTTCAAAAAGACCATCCTCCCACACAAGATTTGTAATACTCTGTAGTTTAGGATTGGTTTTTAAGACATTTCAAATAACGTTGTGGAATTGATCAGAAAGGTTGATCATCTAGCATATAAGTATTGGTGTGTACTGCAAGGTTCTGGAATCATCAAAATGATAAGAAATTTGGCCCAGTCTTGGTAAAGTAACAAGCACTGTATACAGAAAGATGGACTACGCGATATCTATCCAGTCCGGATAGATATAATAATTTACACATAGACTGGGATTGAAAATGATAATAGTCCTTCTTTGCTTGGCGCAGAGCACAAGTCGGTACATTTCTGTATCTACACTATAGTATACTTTAACTCAGATTCACCAGTTTGCTTTGTATATATCTACAAAACAAATAATTTTTAAAAATTTATTGACATACGTAAAGACTTAGTAACCCATGGCATTCAAGGTACTCTTTAATATTCTTGCTTACATCTTTGCACCAAGGGCAAGCATCTGTCATAAAATAACATTATATCCATGAATTTATCAAAAGACTTATCAACATCTGTTTCACATAAATCTTATTCTATTCAACAGTTTCTAATTCTCTCTTAAATTGTGCAATATTTCATTGAGTCAATTTCTGTATTAACTTTTTATACGATGCATTGCAAAAACTGCTTAATGATAAAGAGGATCTAGTAAATATAGGGAAATGATCTGACAAATCAGTTACTATTATACCAGCAGTGGGAATAGGGTGCAAATTGGTAAGAATATTGTCAATTAAGGTTTGTGAGTTATCTGCTACTCTAGTTGGTTTATTAATCAAAGGAATCAAAGAGAATGTACTTAAAGTATCAACAAAATGATCAACAGAGTTATCGTGATCATGACAAAATAAATTAATATTAAAATCACCAATGATAATTATTTTTCTATATGACATTCAAATATAAATTTACTGACCACAGAAGGATGCACTGCATCTGTATTTTTTGAAAAATACTTTTTCATCCTAAACCTATTCACCAATAATTTACTATAATATTAGATACGTATACCATTTACCTCACCCACCTTGAAAAGTACATTTTTTGTCCATTGACATATCGAAACTCATCAAAATAATATCAATAAATTATGGAAGGTCCTTTTTGCATGGACCAATACAACTGTAGTTGCTGTGGAGCACCACGCAATTCAAATACATGAAATAATAAGTTTTTGTTCATTAAGTCATCAAGACTATTCAACATAATATCAATACATTTGTGAAAGGTCCGGTTTGTCGTAGTGCAGAGGAGTAAGAGGCAATATGTCTGTAACTTTAAAGGCTTAGTCCACTTCAAAAATAATTTGCTTTTAACAGATGCAGAAAAACAAGAGAAACAGAGCAAACAAAATTTAAGTAAAATCGGATAACTTATAAGGAAGTTATGAATTTTTGAAAAACTATAGAACAATAGAAATCACTTCTCAAATTGCCAATTTGGTTATCAGCTTGTGACGTCATTGCCTGACTATTTATCAATTGCTTTATACATTTTTATCCTATTAATTTCCTTTTTTATCCCCCAAACCTTTGCAAAGGTTTTATGATTTGTATCATATTGCGTGCATGACATTTCACAAAATCTTTTATGAACTTTGAAGAATTGATACTATTTTCTGAATATTGTATATTTATAATCATTGATTTTTATGTATACAAGTTTCACTGTATAAATGTAAGTGAACACGTCAGTTTGTGTCATGACTTTTATATTGTGTTTCAGATTCGCTATGATGGTATGGGTACTGAGTTAGCAGATATCAATGGTACACTTAAAATGGCGATGAATCATCAGACGTTCTACTGGTTTGTAGATACACACATGAACAGCACTACCCGCAGGTCAAAGTTCATACGAACAGAGGTAGGAAATTTGAAAATTATCATTATTTCCAATTTTGCCTTATTCCCTTCTAATTTATATATGTATTTATTATTTATTCAAATATATTTGGAGATGTCATGGTACAGTGGATACATCTCCGGACTGTGGATCACATGGTTTGCTGTTGAGTCCCGCCGAGTGTGACTATGTAGATTTAATGGTTATTTTGTTACTTTGGATAATAGCTGCATTTTTATAGAATTAATGCATACATGTATACATTCCCCCTTTTTATTTAATCCTGTTGTACTTGGCAAAAGGTTAGAGTCTTTATTTTCTCATTCTCTTCTTTCATGCTCCTCTTCTTCATCTTTCAGTTAATGTGTTGTTGTTGTTCATTTGTTATTTTTATGGTTTTGTTTTGTTTTATGCCTTCTTTCATAGAATTATGTCTCTCTATTATCAAGTAACCAAATGAAAGAATAAGAATATAAGTGAATGTACTTGCGATCAATCATAAGCCAAACTTGTTCCTCAAAATAGGCTCTACATACATGTATACTTACTCATTTATATAGGGAAGAGTGTGGATTTAAATTGCTTTTTGTTATTAGAAGATTTATGTATTAAAATGATTTAATTATATTTGTGCTCCAAATACTTGACTATTAAGCTAATTGTTCAAATTCTTTTGGAAAATAGCCCTTCTCAAAATAAAATTGTCTAAAACTAGTCAAAACCTAGTACTACAGAAAAATAATTTGTTGCACTTTTTTCAATTCTGAACATATTTCCCATCTATCTTTTGTTCCGAATCCTTAGCCTAAAAATGTGTTTATTGTCTATTTAAAAAAAAAAAATCTTTAAGAAAATAATTTTTTTTATTTATAGTTTTCTAGGAAATACCATAAAAAACATACTTCATACTTTTTGCATGACAAAAATAACCAGGGTAAAACAAAACTAATTGTACAGTTTATGCTCATCAACAGATGGAAAATTGTATTTTATTTCCTCTTTAAAGGTACTACACTGTATGTCCCATTTGCAGGTCAAAAAAATGAAAAGGTTAATTTCCAACGGCATTTTAAAGATATTACTAATTTAGAAAACTTCCCTAAAAAAGGTGGGACTCGAAAATGTCTTCAAGTGGGAAAATAACGACTATTAGTTGTCAAATCGACTTTAGGGCTATAGAGCCAATAAGTAATAGTCTTGATTTTCAGACCATTGTACCGAATGGTCATACGTTTTATGCTGCGCAAAGATTCAATCAGTTAATTTTTGGCCATCACAAGAAGTGGGTTATTGATGTAGACAAATGCTCATGTACCCTTTACAGCTCATTTTATATATGTTATTACCAAAGAAAAAAAAAGCCAATCGGTCACTCAATAGTGTCTGACAGTGAAGTCTAGCAAGTAACGGGTTTCCTTGCATAATTTGAATATTAGGACACTGCTAACGTTTAAATTTCACAGATAGGACATACATGACATATTCATAATTCCTGCAAAGTTCTACAGAATTTGAGGTTGGCTGCAAAAGGGACATAGTACCTTTAACTCCTAGTTTTGTATTTTTTGCAATCATGTTAATTATACTAAGTTCTCTCCTTCAAATTGAAGTTGTCAGATCTTTAAATTTGATTATTATGCCTGGAATTTTAAAGAACCTCATTAATGAAATATATGTTCTAAAATTAAGCGAAATTGACAGTTCTCACATTTGTAATGAGAGGATTTTTATTTCCTCTGAAGTATGCAATTATACATTTAGTCTATTGATCTAAAAACAATTATTTATAATTTCTTCTCACAAATATTGAAGTGCAGATAGTGGGTCGAATAACCTTTTATATGCATGTTATTCTTATTGATTTTGAACTTTTAGATGCATGAGGAAATAATTTATTTGACTTGCAAATTTGCTTTTACAACCTCTGTCGGAAATCTACTTTACCTTTAAATTGAGAGAAATATGTACATGTATTTCTCATCTTGTAAAATATTAGAAGTTTTACAAGTATTATTATTTATTTTTATTGTTGGTAGATCTGGTTTGGACGACCTCATGATAATATGACAAGATCGCAAGTGTATGAGGAGTACAAAAAGTTTATCTTTACTTACATCAAACTCCTGGACACAAAGTCTACAGAGTAAGTACTGTTGTTGCTGTTGGTTTGCTTTGTTTTGTAATTGACACAGCATTCCTGTATTCCTATGCAAAGCATGACTGGCCTATCTAATCAGAACATCTAATTGCACAGCTGAGAATATTTTGGTGAACATGAACTTGTTTTAAATATTGATAGATGTATCCTACAATGTGTGATACAAAACAAGTTAGAATTTGAAGCATTTCAATTCATGCACACTGATCGATTCTTAACCCAGATATAGTAAGTGTGATCTGGCAGGATTTATTCCATGAAATGTATGCATTGAATGAGGCTGTCAGAATTAAAAGCCTGGGTAATAATTCACATTCGAATGAAATAGAATAGTCAAGGCAAATGTACTATTAATGATTTAGATAAACAATGTTAAAAAAATGATTAAGCAAAATGCTTATTAATTGTATTCAATATGGATTAATACTTCAAATGAGATAAGTACTCGTGATAGATCTTTGTTCCCTTAAAATATTTCCATTATGCAGCAAAGTTGATGTCCTGTACGGTGGTACAGAGATCTTTGATCAGGAAGTTTCGATGACCATCTACCATGACATCCTCCTCTCCATCCCGACCTTTGTCGCCATCTTTGTTCTCCTATTTGTCTTCACATCCTTCTCTCTCTGGCTGACGATCTGTGGCCTTCTGAGTATCATATACAGCTTCTGTCTGGCCTACTTCTGCTACCATGTCTTCTTTGGTATTGAGGCACTCGGCCTCCTCAACGTTGTCTCTGTGTTTGTGATCATTGGAATAGGTAAGTGGAAGATTGCAATCATCGCGTTTCAACTCACTCAGGACAGGAATTTTTATTGGCTAAGTTGATCCTTTTTTTTTCTTCCCCCTTTTTAGTAGGTCAAACCTTCTTTTCACTCTGTACATTTTCTTCGGTCATGCATTGAAAAATAGATGCACAATGCAACCATGAACACAGAAAGCACCCTTTTATTCTAGTCATCATATTTTCTGCCATTATTTCAAGGACAATCCTGTACACTTAGGTAACATGAGATTTATGTCTTGCCCTAATGAATTTTAATGGAACAGAAAAATGTTGTTTTATTGTTTCTTTAATGATATAAATGTCCTTGCATTGGTTGATATTATACAAATAAGTGGGTTTGTAGGAAATGTGAGCACAAAGTAACTTTGAGCATGCACCCAATTCCACCGACCCACAAATTCAAACTGGGTATCATCTGTTTCATAGAATGGACTTGATTTTTGTCTCGCCTGCGTAGCAAAAAGCGAGACATAGGCGCCGCTTTTCCGGTGACGGCGACGGCGGCGGCGTCAACATCAAAACCTTAACGTAAGGTTAAGTTTTTGAATTTTTGATATAATTTTTAAAGTATAAGTCCTTAGTCAATGAAACTTTGACTATAGGGTAATCAAGTATCCCCAATCATGTGAGTAGAATTCCAGATCACAAAGTCAAGGTCAAAGGTCATTTCAGGTCAACAGACTTGGACTATTAAATGAGTAAATCTGAGGTTAAGATTAGGTAACTCAAGCTCCCCTAAGAAGAATACTATTTCATTCGCAGATGAGGCTTCCCTGTTTGAACTCAAAACAAATCATATAAAATCAAATTAAATCATATCATAATTACTGCATTTTTGGTATCATCCTATTCCATTCTCTTTCAGGTGTAGATGATGTGTTTGTATTTGTCAACACATTTCGTCAAGCTGACTCCATCAAAGACCCTGCCCTCAGAATGGCTCATACCATTACTACAGCGGGGGGTGCCACTTTTTTTACCTCCATCACAACAGCAGGGGCATTTGGAGCCAACATGGCCTCACAGGTATGTGTGCTGCTGTACTGGTTTTTGCATGTTTTTTTCTTTCTATCTTTCTCTCTCTTTGTCTCTGTCTCTCTATCTCTCTATATATATCCACCTATCTGCTTTTTATCCCCTCGCCGACGAAGTCGGAGGGGATATGGCACTGTTTTTTTTTTCTAACTATGACCAAATAGCTAAATGGCCCTTTGAGAGCCTGAAACTTTTCAAAGATAAAGAATTAGAAATCAATTACAATTTTTGTTGTAGCATGGACCTAGATTGACCTCCCATAGCTTAATGAACAATTTTCAACATTGCTTTATATGCATGAGGTATCCCTGAACAGCCAATTGTTTACAGAATTTTGTAACAAAATTGACATACATTTTTGGTTGAAGCCGAAAAAAATATATACCCACTAACAATATGTTTTTTTTCTATTGATGATTAATGAGCATGGGTGGATCTTAAAGAAAGTTAACAGTAATCTGAATTAACTCCTGTATTTTGATGGAACAGTGCAATTGAAAATGGTGTTTCGGACGTTACATTTTCCGTAAACAATGTAGACCCTCATTTAACCCACTAGAACAATAAATTAATGAGATTGTTTATGGTTTGAATATGCTTATTAGATCTCCAAGTCATTAAATTAAGATAAAATATAACTTAATTGTAGTAGTGCTTATATTAGAAATATACTCAAAATTTTAAAAAGTTGTCTCATTTTCCGTAAACAATTTTGTAACGTCCGAAACAACTTTCAATTTGAAGTAGCAGAAAATATATGAACTGCAGGACCTATCTTTCAAACATTTTGTTAACATTTCATGGCGGCTACCCACCAAAAAAAAGAAATTTGCAATACATCATTACAATACTATTTTATAGTTAAAACCAATTTTCCGTTAACAGTTTTAACGTCCGAAACAAATGTAACGTCCGAAACAAAAAATACCAAATAAATGATGATAATCCATATTTGAGGGTATCTGGAGTGAATAAATCATTATGAAATAAGTTATTATAAGTCTTAACACAAGTCAAAACACAAATAAGGTCTTTCATATCCAATAATTTTGTGTAAGCTCAAAAAGGGTGTTTCGGACGTTACACTATTTGATTGTTAACACATAGTTTGCAAATTTCAACTAATTTTTGATCATATGTGCAAGTTACCATTTCACAATGCACACTCCTGTTAAAAACACTTTTTTGATAATTTCATTTAGATCTAAATATAAAAATATGAAGAAATATGATGCAAAAAATAAAATTTTACGTAAAATATCTGAATTTTCTGCAAAATTGACTTATAAAACATAAAATATTGAAGCCACACATTGTGATGCAAGGCATGGCTGGCTGCTTTAGTATATCTGTAATTTATCAGAAAAAATCTCAATAAAAGGGACTCATAAAAAATATTCAGCCATTTTAACAGCACTTTCTGGTATGCTGTTGGCACGTTTGGGATGTTACATTCAACTGTTAACAGACATTTTCATACTTTAACTAGTTAAAATGAGGGGCAAAGAAAGATGTGAGAAAAGCAAATTTCAATTTTTCAACCTCTCCTCTTGCTATTTACATTGCTGTGTGTTTGCAAATCATCAGGTTTTCATTTTTACAGAGGTTGTTCCAAATTACGTCATATAACCAAAGATTGGATGGTCAATCTAAACTATTTGGTAGGTTACAAAAGCTCAAAATCACCCACTTAAGCATTACCCAGTGTACATGTACATGATACGGGTATGATACAGGTATATAAAGTTCATAAAATCAAGCAAATTAAAATGTTCTTCTAAAAGTTTATGGGAAATATGGATTTTCATTTGAAAATACCTTTTAAAAAGGGCACTCAGTACACGTAACTAATCTGTGTAGAAGGTACATACATGTATAAAAGAAAAAGATTACCATCAATACCCTATTTAATGATCCTAAACATATACAGTACATCTAGTATCTTCCTCAAATGTTTGCATACAAACAAAATGTATAAGCTAGTGTGAAATATAAATGGGCTGTCCGTTTGATTTGGGTTTTTTTTTTCCTCTACGAAATGTCATATGTCAATGACATATATATATTTATTATTTTTGGGTCCCAAAAAAATCACGACTCAGCCAGCCCCTGAAGGGGGGGGGGGGGGGCCGGGGTGCACGTGCCTCCTGTGTCCCCCCTGGATCCGTCCCTGGTTACTTCAGTAGTATTATACCCTAAAACATACAAAAATTAAAAATACATCTAAAATGTCTCATTCTCGAGATGAACATAAATTAGGATTTATTTATTTCTTTTTACTTACATGACTGAGGGTACTTTTTTATAGTTTAAATTTTTTTTTTCTTCAATGTTTTGCTTACATATGTATGTGTTAGTGATATTATTGAATGACTAACTATATAGTTGAAGGCAAAGAACATAAGCAAGCTGATTGAACATCTATATTGTAGAGTTTGTAGAAATTGATGATCTCATTGAAATGTTAACATTGTGTAACATCTGAAACAAACCATAGCATACATTTCACACTGTTGTTCATAACATGCAATAAAGAGTATGTTTCTAAGTGAATTTTCTAAGGAGTTTTGATGACTACAATTGCTATTAGCTTCATATTTCACTCTGTTAGATCACATAAGCAATTTCAACTACCGGTACACGTTCTTGGAATGAATAATATACCTTACATAAATCTGATTGACAGATTTTAATGAAATTTGATATGAAATTTGATATGAAGGTACATGATATCAAAATACAGGCCGAGTTCGATTTTGGAGTATGTAGGTCAAAGGTCAAAGGTCATAGCTCATTAAATATGTGGAAAAATACACATCCGGTTTCCGATCGTTAACTTTAGTAATGTTTGACAGATTTTAATGAAATTTGATATAAAGGTACATGATATCAAAATACAGGCTAATTTCGATTTTGGAGTATGTATGTCAAAGGTCAAAAGTCATAGCTCATTAAATATGCGAATCTGGTTTCCATTCGATAACTTGAGTAATGTTTGACAAATTTTAATGAAATTTGATAGGAAGGTACATGGTATCAAAACACAGCCTAAGTTCAATTTCCGAGTATGTAGGTCAAAGGTCATAGCTCATGAAATATGCGAATCTGGTGTCCATTCGATAACTTGAGTAATGTTTGACAAATTTTAATGAAATTTAATATGAAGGTACATGGTATCAAAATACATGTACAGCCTAAGTTCGATTTCTGAGTATGTAGGTCAAAGGTGAAATGTCATAGCTCATTAAATATGCAAAAACACCTAATTATATATGTGAAAATGTGGTTAACTTTCTTGCCTAGTAATATAATAGGTATAGTCCAATGGAGGTAACTTTTTCAGACGTATATAGGCCATTTGTACCCTGCGAGGGGATGCTACGCTTTGCGTTGACTTGTTAGATCTATTCTATGAAATTCTACTCTTGAAACTATGGAAATTTACCTCATCTGTGAACCAAACACCTGGTTAATGCATCTGCGTAAACATGTATTGCCAATCTGTCTTTGTTCTATTCTTTACAGATTCCAGCCATTTATGACTTTGGTTTATTCATGATGCTTCTTGTAGTCTTCTGTTGGTTAATGGTGGTTATGATAATGCCGTCTGCTCTTAACATCTGGTCCCATGCTCTCAACTGTGAACTTTCTTTGTAAGTACTGGGTAATGTAATCTTTCAAACTAATTGCCTCCTTGCTCAGTTTGTATTAGCAATCCCTACACAATTATGTTTGTGTGCACCCCACTGTTAGTTACGAAGACCCCAATACCATCAAATATTTTTTCTTTCTTACAAAAAATTTGTCTAACTGTTCTTTTTATTCGTTCATGCATTTGCCAACTTCTATCAAGATCAGTAATACAGGAAGGCTGGTGGAAAGCCAGTTCTATCAAGATCAGTCAAACAGGAAGGCTGGTGGAAAGCCAGTTCTTTTAACCCTTCTATCAAGATCAGTCAAACAGGAAGGCTGATGGAAAGCCAGTTCTATCAAGATCAGTCATACAGGAAGGATGGTGGAAAGCCAGTTCTTTTAACCCTTCTATCAAGATCAGTCAAACAGGAAGGCTGATGGAAAGCCAGTTCTATCAAGATCAGTCATACAGGAAGGATGGTGGAAAGCCAGTTCTTTTAACCCTTCTATCAAGATCAGTCAAACAGGAAGCCTGGTGGAAAGCCAGTTCTTTTAAAGGCCCACTGCACTACTGGTAGCTACTTGCGCCCTCTATATAACAAACAATGCATAATCGGTGACCATTGGTCCCCCATGATCCTCTTTTTCTTATGTAAACTGAGAGCTGAGTTGATGAGATAACCACCTGTCCAGTGACCTTGCAGAGCGGTCTAATCCCTCCTGTAAACTATGGCAGATAAGCTTTAACCCTTCTATCAAGATCAGTCAAACAGGAAGGCTGGTGGAAAGCCAGTTCTTTTAACCCTTCTATCAAGATCAGTCAAACAGGAAGGCTGATGGAAAGCCAGTTCTATCAAGATCAGTCAAACAGGAAGGCTGATGGAAAGCCAGTTCTATCAAGATCAGTCAAACAGGAAGGCTGATGGAAAGCCAGTTCTTTCAAGATCAGTCATACAGGAAGGCTGGTGGAAAGCCAGTTTTATCAAGATCAGTCATACAGAAAGGCTGGTGGAAAGCCAGTTCTTTTAACCCTTCTATCAAGATCAGTCAAACAGGAAGGCTGGTGGAAAGCCAGTTCTTTTAACCCTTCTATCAAGATCAGTCATACAGGAAGGCTGGTGGAAAGCCAGTTCTTTTAACCCTTCTATCAAGATCAGTCAAACAGGAAGGCTGGTGGAAAGCCAGTTCTTTTAACCCTTCTATCAAGATCAGTCAAACAGGAAGGCTGATGGAAAGCCAGTTCTATCAAGATCAGTCAAACAGGAAGGCTGATGGAAAGCCAGTTATATCAAGATCAGTCAAACAGGAAGGTTGATGGAAAGCCAGTTCTTTCAAGATCAGTCATACAGGAAGGCTGGTGGAAAGCCAGTTATATCAAGATCAGTCATACAGAAAGGCTGGTGGAAAGCCAGTTCTTTTAACCTTTCAAATCCATTGGGAGCCTGGTGGATTTCTGGAGACTGGTCCTTGGTCTGAGTAGGAGTTTGACTTGTTGAACGGTATTAAAGCCCATCCATATAAAACATATTGACAGGAAGAATAGCTTGCTCCTGATATGTCTATTATAAAAAGCATGAATATTTTCCTACTTTGTGTACAGAATGCAGAAATTCAAGAACAGGAAGTCAGGCAGCCCAAGCCGTCATCACGATACCAGCCTCTATCGAGTCCTGGCCCAGTATGAGAACCAGAGTGAGACCAGGCTACCAGCCCTGGAACCATGTCGTCAAGGAGTTAACGAGGTCCCAGAAAACCATGTCCTCGATGATAGCGATATACCTTTGTTAGACCTTGAGGATGAACCTGCAGAACATGGTGAGCATCTTTGTCTAGTTTGTCCCTCTGATAGGACTGAAATATGTAGGACCTATTCCTCATATATCAGTGATGTACACATACCAGATCTTGCATGATCTGTCATCTGGGATTAATTCACTTGTTATTACCATGTAAACATTGCTGGGTTATATGAAAGAGAAAGTACTTTTTAGGCAAGTTGATTGTATCGATTAATACATGCATGTATTACTTAAGACGTTAAGAGACTATGATCTATTTTGTATCGCCAAAACGGGACCGAAGCCCCCACAATTGCATGTTACCTCAATCTTGAGTTAGAAGATCATGATAGAAAAGGGTGGGTGGTGTTGAAGATCGGGTCTCCATTTGTTGCCATCACTATAATGATGATGATGATGATGATGGTGATCGTGATGATAGTGGTAAGGATGATGATGGTGGTGGTAGTAATAATGATAATGATGATGGTGATAGTGATGATAGTGGTAAGGATGATGATGGTGGTGGTAGTAATAATGATGATCATCATGAGGATGGTCATGAAGATGATGATTTACTGTGATATTGATCTTTTAAAATCTTTGCTTTGCTCCTTGGATCAGGCCTGTTGACCGATGATGAAGATGACATTCCTCTGCTGGAGATAATGTCCATCCCTGCTCTAGTACCCCCTAGAGACACCAAAGAATCAGCTAGTTTGACTGCTGCTCTTCAGAAGATGCTTCATACATTCATAGCCAAACCTGTTATGAAAGCTAGATGGGTTTTTATTGGTAAGGTCTTTAGGTTGGTGGATTCAGTTTCTGGGAAGCAAAAATTATTAGCATCGATCGATCTTGTTTCAAACTGATATGGAATTGTAATGGATAGACTGTCTCAATCACGACATCATTGTACCTTTCATTATGTGGTCAATTATGCAAAAATGTGGGTATTTAGTTAAATACATATAAAGACCCTTTAAACATAAACCTAATCAAATCTTTGGATGTTTCTCCTCAGAACTTTTATACAATCCATTCACTTCAATATTTCATAAAACATCGCAATGTAGGTAGATCCCCCTATGCATAATGTTCATCAATATGTCATACAAGTTCCAGACAAGCTTTGTGGTCATTCTTTCCAATTTTTAAAGGGACTTTCCTTGGATTATGTGGGGGGGGGGGGGGAAGTATTTGTATATTATCATATTTCGATGTACACATTCTGACATATCTTTCACTAACGTTATCTTGTTAATTTTCACAGGGATATTCTGCATCATATTTTGTGTCACCATCGTCCTTGTATCCCGCATCAAGCCCGCGAGTCGTCCTCCAGCGCTCTACCAACCCAACACCAACCTCCAACGACTTCTTGATCTCGCCTACAACTTCAGCGGCAAGGACATCCGCTGTACCGACTGCTCAGGCTTCGACCAGGGGGATTTGCACCCTGTTATACCAATCCCCGATGTGCCGGTGGAAGTCCCGGGGATGCTGAGTCCAAATCCAGTCTTGCCCACCCATCGGCCAGAGACCACCCTTTGGCCTCCATCAGAGCCCCCAATGATACCGACGGATGCTGGGGGTGGTGGTGATGGAGGAGTAGGAGGAGATGGGGGTGGAGGTGGAGGAGGTACTGTCGTCACCATTCTGGGACCCCCAGGGCACCAGACTCCTCTTACTACTACCAGTTATTCTGGGAACTCTCCTACTCCACCACCTAAAAGTAAGTTCTAAAATATCATACTCCTGTTACATTCCTAACAAATCTTGTTTTCTGTTGTGAAATACCCTAATGTTCTTCCACTAATATAATATAGCATTGATTTGTCAATTTTCAATTTTAACAGCTAGCTTATGACAACAAATTTGTATGTATTACATGTGCCTAATATCTGTGTTACCTAAAGCTGTGAATGCACTAAACAAGAAGATTGCAAGAGTGTTTTTTTTTAAAGAGAAAGGCCTGGAATTTTAAACTAAACATATTTTTTACAATTTTGTTCATCATTTCTGCTTTGTCAATCTGGATTGTGAGTTAATGGAAACTAATATGTTACTAAACCGTAGGTTAATCTTAATTTCTGGTAATTCACAAAATTCTCATGAAATCAGACAAAACCTTTGGAATTTCTTTTTTCCTTCAAAATGATGATTTCTGTAGTTACTTGGAGAAAAAATATTTTATGAGGGATGAAGCTCAACTTTTCTACAAAGAGAAAAAACAATCTGTGTTTCGAAGCAATTACAGGGCTGGATGCTTTCTAGACATTTTGAAATATGTAGGATCAATAAAGCTGCAGTCAGATACGACCTGGTAAATCATGGCTTTTTGGTCTGTACTGACGATGTAATACGCTTTACATTTATGTATCTTATAACACAGAGCTCAGTCAATATGTGCAAGACCTTTGTTGTGCACCATTCATTTCAATACACGTAAAGAAAAAGGCTGTGGTTTACTGATCACATCTGAACACATCTGTATTCTAGTTCAATTTTTTGTTTGTGTGTGTGGCTCTCAGGACAGACATGCAAGGATGTTGACTTGGTTTGCAAGTATGGCTCCGTTTGCCAGGAGTCTAATGAATCACAAGGTAGACCTCGCTGCATCTGTAAGACAGATTGCAACCAGATGAAGATCGATCCTGTTTGCGGGTCGGACAGGGAGACGTATGCCAGCGAATGTCAGATGCGCTCTTATGGGTGCATGGATAAGCGTAAAGTGACCGTTGTCAAGAAGGGAGTCTGTGATGGTTTGTAATTGTAGGGTATTCAACGCATAGAAAACTTGCAACCAAAATTGTGTTCAAAGGAAAGTCTTGTAGTCTTTGGCGAAACTATAGTTTAGAGGCTAGGCACCTTGCTTCAATGTTAATATGGGCATTTGCTCACAGCACATTGATGTATCACAGTTTTAAAACAGTATAGTCTCACAAGATTTCTGTTAGTGTTCTACAGTGGCATTACCTGCCATTGCCCAAAAAACTAAAACACTTTGTTTCTTTGTCTTATGAAAGAAGAAAGCTGCAGAGACAATCATGCCATTTCTGTAAAAATGTATATTCTGTTGAGAGTCAGAAGGGTGTTACATCTAAGTTAAATTCTTCACCACACAGTTATTGCCTTTCCAGTTTTTCAAAAGATAATACAATTGCAAGATACGGTTATTGAAATGTTATTTTGGTTGCCTGTTTTCTTTGTGTGTTTTGGGTCATTTTTGGTTATGGGCATTAGCATGTTTATTGTACATGTATGTTTCACTCATCTGTAATCATAAGTCATTAATCTTGTCCATAATACATTTTTCTATGGCTTTGTGTTATATGTTGTATGTTCTTAAAATGCATGTGTTATATTCCTCAACGATACCCAACCCTGAATGCAGTAGGTACTTGTTTTTGTGTTTGTTTGTTTTATGCCTCTTTATTCATCATTTCATTCTCTTTCTGAGTAAAAATTTTGTAAGCATCAAGGTTTCAACCTGTGGAATAGGAGTCCCAAAATAAACATTTCTTGAGTCTATTTAAAATACATGTTACTCCAAAATCAAATCATATCCAATAAGTTTTTAAAAATGGCTCTGATTCACTAGCATGTTACAACATATTGCTGTAGATGTCAGCCTATAATATACTTGCCTTCAAACTTTATAACTCAGATCTACATTGTAAATAACTAATATATTACTCATAACCTATAACCCAAACGGTCAAAGCTAAACATAACAGTGGTTGTAAAGATGTTGCTACAACATTCGTTATCTCTTTTGCAAGCTGCCTTGTTTTTTGTTTTTTTTTCTCATCCTTGTCGAGATACATAAACATATAAATATGAAATAGCTGTGTTGATGTAATAGCTGTGTTGATGTATAATGGTGTGCATGGAACCAATTCAATGGGCTATAGATATGAATCCAACCATGGGATGCTTTGATATGCCTCAAATATTCTTAGCAGACTATATTGTCTTTAATTTCTAGAGATTTCATGCAATAATAAACATCATTGTCATAAAAAGAAACCATGTGTATCCTTCCAAATATTTATCTTTTTCTCATCCTTGTCGAGATACATAATACATATAAATATGAAATAGCTGTGTTGATGTATAATGGTGTGCATGGAACCAATTCAATGGGCTATAGATATGAATCCAACCATGGGATGCTTTGATATGCCCCAAATATTCTTAGCAGACTATATTGTCTTTAATTTCTAGAGATTTCATGCAATAATAAACATTGTCATAAAAAGAAACCATGTGTATCCTTCCAAATATTTATCTTTGAAGAGTTTTCTGTATAAACATGTAATTGTGTTTTTGTTAAGTAGAATATATTTTTTTATGCCTCCGTTACGAAGTAGCCGGAGGCATTATGTTTTCGGGTTATCCATACGTCCGTACGTCCCATTTTCGTGATCGCGTTATCTCAAGAACCGATGGATGGATTGGATTCCTGCCAAACTTTAGTCATGTATGTATCTTGCAGAGCCAATAATCTGATTAGATTTTGGGGTCAAAGGTCACAGGGCTCATTATGTATGCAAAAATAGCTTATGATCACATTATCATTAGAATCGATGGACAGATTACCATCAAACTCAAAACATGTATTTATCTTGCAGAGCCAATGAATTGAGTAGATTTTGGGGTCATGAGGTCAAATGTCATGGGGCTCATTATGTAGGCGAAAATAGCTTGTGAACGCCTTCTTATTAGAACAGACGAATGGATTACTATCAAACTCGGGACATGTTTGTATCTTGCAGAGACATCAAACTGATTAGACTTTAGGGTCATAAGATCAAAGACCAAAGGGTCATACAGTACATGTATATAAAAAATAGCTTGTAATAATGATATTCTGTGAACCTGCTAATGGATTACAATCAAACTTGAATTTGAAAAATTGCTCTATGGCGGCCGGAGGCATCATTTTCGACTGCACGCAAACATCCATCTAGTTTCTTAAAATTCTATGTTTGAGTTTGAAACAATGTCCCAACTTTTATCAAGATGTCAGGATTTTCAGTTTCTCATGATGTGATAGACATATTGATTATTTTGCTTAAAGTCAAGAAGGCATATGAGAGCATTACCTCATGGTCATAATAGGATGAGCCTATAGAAACAACTATGCCTGTCATAGCAGTCAGTATATCTATACAACTTATCATAGAGTTCATCTTGTCTATCTTGCTCTCAGAAGACAGATTGTTATTTTAAATAAGGCAGGAGAATGTAAAGATTAAGTCAGCAATTATGAGATTTTGAAAAATAATTTGAGATTTTATACTAGTGATATTGCGAAGTATTTTTTCACATCATTATCACTATATTTTATTTCACCATATTTCAATCTGTAGGGATGATCAACATTCAGGTTTTACAAAGCATATTATCTGTACTCAAGCTTTAAAGCCTTGTTGCAAAATGTGTGCTTGCTCTTCATTTGTAGCTGATATAAGAATGCAATACAAATCACAAGACTGCTCTCAGCTTTTCCAATTACTGCAATTTTTCACTACCTCCTTGCTAACATTGCCTGACACAATTATGTATTGATTAGCCATTTTACCTTTTTTGCTTTTATTGTGAGTGTAAGCTACAGATTCTGTGCATCTTTTGTATGTTAAAGGTAATACAAAGTTTTGGGAAATTTTGAAACTGGGTGGATATGATTCTATACCATTTTGATATATTTAGATGCCCCTGTGGATGTATTATAAGCACTAGAAAAATTAGCCCCTAAAACACTTCTGCTTTCGAGAAAAATTGAATATAAAAATTTACCGGTGCTCCCGGTAAATTTTGATAAATTGCAAATAGCGCCTATACGGCCGTACAATGTTAGCTGCGACCATGAAAATCTCAGAATATGTAGTTGTGATATATAATTTCCAAACGGGAAGAGCTAATCGGTCGATTTTAGTCAAGAAACATTGTTTTATAGCTTAATTAATATCTTGACCTTGAGAGGGAGCTATACAACATAAAGAGTTTATTATTTACAATTTCATCACTTTAGACTCGTTTTCAACCGCAACAACAATCACTTCATATTGTAGAATCGCATTTCCTTCCATTATGTTTATTTGAACCAAATTCATGACCCCATACCAAAACTTTGTATTACCTTTAATTTGATACATAAGGGGTATCTAAATCACCAACAGCTCCAGTATAAAGTATACCTTGGAAAATATACCTTGAAAGTTGACTTAAAGTTAAAATACAAACCTTTAATATTTGCCCCTTTGCACCCATGAAGTAAATTATGTTCTATTTGAAAGGCTACATCAACACTTACAAAATTCACTGGGGTCAAATTTATTTTTCCTGGATTCCCAAACTTTATGATTTCAACATACAGCAATAAAAGAGAATTTCTGTAAATTCTATGAATCAATATTCACAATACAACCTCCATCGTCAGCATTGAAATCCTTCTTAAATGCTCTCAAACTAAATTACAATGTATCCACCATATTTTCACACAGGTCCACCAATCATCCCTCCAACTACCGAGCCTCATGGTAGGGGTGATGTTGACCCCTCCTCTCCAGGCAAAGGCTACGACCCCTGCGCCAACAACGTCAAGTGTGGCAATGCAGCTAGCAGGCCAGTGCTCGATGACACAGCTATGGTTTTTCTGGTGTTTGGAATCAAGGGTATCAACAAGACAAATGTTTCTACACACCATGTACTGAATGAAGACAAGGTTAGAAGTGTACAAATTAGTTGCATAGGTACAAGGGGTATTTCACCCCCCCCCCTCTCCCCATCTAAAAGATAGAGAGACCTATGGTATTTCTGGTGTTTGTAATACAGTGAATAAAGCAGGACTGATAATTACCTGATTTAAATCAGTTTCCCAATTTTTTAATTTTTTTCCTGATTTCTTCCCAGTGTTTTTTTAATTTTTTTTTCTTCCCGATTTTTTCCCTCATTTTCTCTTTTTTCCCCAATTTCTTCCCAATTTTCTTACTCAAAAGGGGGGGGGGGGGGTGGGGGAGAATATGTTGTTAGATGCCATTTCCCCCCCCCCCCAAAAAAAAAAAAATTCCTTTTTTTTTTTTTTTTTACTCAAAGGGGGGGGGGGGTGGTTGAGGGGATAACCCCCACCCCCCTTTTTATGCCTCCGCCACCGAAGGTGGTGCCGGAGGCATCATGTTTTCGGGTTGTCCATCCGTACGTCCGTCCCATTTGACCGTTATCACAATATCTCAAGAACCATTTAAGATTTAAACTTAAGACTCGGGAATAGTATTTATCACCATAGGAAGACGATCTGATTAGATTTTGGAGTACGTAGGTCAAAGGTCACAGGTTACTGAGGTCAACTTATGAAATTCCTTGTATTGAGTTTGTTAGCGCGATATCTCAAGAACCATTTGAGATTTAAACTTCAAACTTAAGGATAGTATGTATCACCATAGGAAGACGATCTGAGTAGATTTTGGAGCACGTATGTCAAAGGTCAAGGGTCACAGAGGTCAACTTATGAAATTCCATACATTGAGATTGTTATCATGATATCTCAAGAACCACTGGAGATTTAAACTCCAAACTTGTTTAAATTGCTCTATGGCGGAGGCATCATTTTCGACTGCGCGCAGTCAAAATTCCATCTAGTTTTTTTATAACTCACTATACAGAGATGCCAACCAATACAATTAAATTATATAAGAGTGAAATACGATATGATATCACCTCTTTAAATGCGCAACCCGCAACCTCAACAAAAACTTGCTTTTTAATTTCTCATTAAATTTTTATGTAAGAGCAAACATTTTACTTGACCATACTTTTAATACCAGTAAAACATTTTTCTGAAATTTTACTGGCCCAAGGCCCATTCTTCCAATATGTTTCCTCTGTTTCCAATATGTTCACTTTTGTGTACCGGTAACCATAAACCTAGTTACTGTATATCTACATCACCATGCAAGCCAAAACTTATAAGCAGCATCTATTCCTTAATTGTTGTTAATGATTATAATTGATTTGTAATGCTTTGTTGAAAAAAGAAATAAAATTGAATTGAATTGACTTGACATAAAAAAGGAAGAGCGTGTGAGAGAGAGAAAAAGCGAGAGACCAATGGTATTTCTGGTGTGATTGTAGTAGAGGAGACTAATGTTTCCACACCTTATGTACTAAATGAAGATAAAATGAGAAGTGATGATAATTAGTATCATAGCTACAGGAAGAAAGATGAGCCCCTTCCACTCTAAAGCTGTTTATTTGGTCAAATAAATCAAATTTACAATTCGTGTAGACATAGACAACGAATTAGTATTTATTCTGTCTTGATACAAAAATATATTATGTGCATTCTCAATTTATTTACATGAAAGATATTTCTTACCCCAGTTAACATTTAAAGAGAAGAAAAAAATTCATAGTAATAGTTTACATGTGCTAATTTTGCCTTAACTTGATCGCAGCAAAACTACTGAACCAATTTTTTTTTTGGATGATATATCGTCGCTGTTTTCACGAAGTGACGGTAGTGAAAAAAAATTGCATTCACTTTGCGTTACGATTTTCCTCACTACCGTCACTTCGTGAAAACAAGGACGATATGTATCATCATTTAGCTGTCAGAGCCTAGTAATCTACATGGATATATTATGGAATCGTAAGTTAAACCAAGTGCTTTCCCCTATGATCTGTTACAAACTGTACTTTAGTGTCATGAGATCATTTAGTACTCGAGCGTGATATCCTCTCATCCTCAGGGTACTGTCATTTATGACCTGGACTTCACGCCTCTCCGCTCTCGGACTGTGGGGGCGCTGTGTAAGATCTGCAAGCTCATCGGTAACAACCAAGACCTAGTCCGCAATGGCGGGGCGGAGTGCTTCCCGACCCAGTACTTAACCACACTTCAGATCTATGGGCTAAGGCTTCCTGACGAATGTAACGACATCCCACGACCTAAGCTCATCGCAGGTCAAAGGTCACATGCAAAAGTTCACATGATTGGTCAGGAGCTTGTCTGGTTCGCCATGGCTTTTGAGTCGGTGAGCATTCCTTTGTAACTTAGAATATTTCGCTGGCATAAATTTAATGAGTGGTACAGACTTGAAAAAAAATTGAATCACAATTAACTGACACTGAATGTTTCTGGTTTTTGTCTCGCCTGCATAGCAAAAGCGAGACATAGGTGCCACTTTTCCGGTGACGGCGGCGTCAACATCATTAATTTGTAATATAATTTTGAAAGTATAAGTTCTTATTCAATGAACTTAGCCTATAGGGTTATCAAGTATCACAAATCATATGACATAAATTCCAGGTCACAAAGTCAAGTTGAAAGGTCATTTTAGGTCAGTAGGGCTTTTTCATCTGCAGCACCTTGTCTTTGGAATAATTTACTATTTAATTTGAGAATCATAACTTCCTTAGAGACCTTTAAATCCAAGCTGAAATCTTATCTTTTTTTACCAATACCTGTACTTGACACTCATCCGAACTTTCTCGTCCAAACTTTCTCATTCTTTCTATTTTTCCTGTGCGCCTTAGAATAGCATTGTCTAGATAGACGGTGCTATACAAATGCCTATTGTTATTATCATTATGTTTTCACAACTTAATATGAGAATTGATAAATCAATTTTTGTTATTTGTTCATCTTTTATGAAAGTTACCAATCTTGGTACAAATAATAGTAAATAATTCTTCTGATGATTCTTAGTCAATATTCACTTCAAAATGCTGATGATTTTCAGAGGATTTCCATTTTGGGGGGCCTGCTAATGTCCCAACCTCAATTGTTCATTATATTGAATTGCGTAATGCAGGTGAGAGCGTTTTTCTTGTTAGATTGTTTACTCTGTATTCATAGGTAACCTATGATAATAGATGTGCTTGACCAAGGGTTTTACGTTTTAACAATTATGGAACATTATAGAATATCATTTTAATTTAGATTTAAAGTCTTTGTTTGAAGGGAATGACATATATGTGAGAACTTCAAATTGTTATAAACAAATCATCTCTAATATGGAGAGGGATTTCATCTTTACAAACAAAGACTTTCACTCTCAAAAGCTTGATTGATAGAGTTCATGCTGGCTAATTATATATGTTTTACCTTTATATATATTTTACCTTGTATGATTATTTTAATGCCCTTATGTTATTGACGAGACCCATAACTTTGTGGAATTATTTTTTATGATGAATTTGCCATTTGTATTCATGTATGACAATTCTTTGTGCAGAAAATCTATGAAGGGAAATCAAGCTTCGAAGTCTACAATGATTATAGTACATCAGAGAATGCCTTGGCAAAAGCGAAGGCATGCAAAATGACATTACTAAAGTTTTATACATTTGGCAAATTTATGCATGTATTATTTTTCTTTGTGCAGAAAATCTTTGAGGGGAAGTCGAGCTTTGAAGCCTACAAGGATTATAATGCATGGGAAAAGGCCATAGTCAAAATGAAGGCAAACTTGACAGAGGAGGAGAGAGTTGGTTTAATGTCAGTTTTCCAAACATGTGATTACTGGGAACAAGTCTTCATGGAGATTATTGGTAAGGGATGAAGAGAAATGATGGATGAAAGGAGTGATGGAAGGAAGGAGGAAGGAGGGTATGGTAGAAATATATGAATAAACAGGGGCAAATATTCTTGGAAATGAAGGAAGGAATGAAGTGAAGTGCTTAGCTAAGGAAAAGGAGACAGGATTGAGAGAGGCTTAAATGATCATGGATCATCAAAAGTGATGAGGAAAGGAAATATAGAGAAAGGAGTTGATCTGAGGAGGGATGGAGAATTCAATAATAATTGGGGGGGGGGGGGGTGTTACACCCACAAATGTAATAACACTTTACCCACAAATGTAATAACACCCACAAATGTAATAACACTTTACCCACAAATGTAATAACCACTTTACCCACAAATGTAATAATTTTGAATCACCCACAAATGTAATAATGTAGTACAGCGGATAAGCTCCCAATATAATGAAAATTGTGCACTTTTTGAGAAAAGCATGAAACTTCTAGCATAGTTAGTTTAGACCATAAGATTTATATTCAGATGTGGAGGGAAGTCAGATTTGACCTCTGATGACCCTGAGAGGTCAAATCCAAAATGGCCGCCAGTCCGCATGGTCTATTATGGACAAACACGCTTAACTTTTAAACCAAATAGTCAAGAAAAACGTTTAAGGTGTTTTTTCCAACTAACTAGTTGGAAATGACACCTTAAACGTTTTGTCTGGACTTTGTCTTTTCTCAAAAAGTGCACAATTTTCTTGCTAAGCCGCTGCACTAATGACTTTACCCACAAATGTAATAAATTTGAAGGGATATTCTGTCGAATTTGTTCAAAACTAAAACCCTGTAATAAAGCATAGGTATAGCGCGCAGTCTTTACTCCAGACACGGTTATTTCAAAAATTTCAAAAATCTTCAAAACTAAGACCCCATAATCCTTTTCCTGTGGAATAACATGAGAATCGAGCATAGTCTTTCCTCCAGACCAGGTTATTCAAAAGTAAAAAAAAAAAAAAAAAAAAAAATTTAAACTAAGACCCCACCATCTTCCAATGGGTAGGAGTAGACATTTTGATTTTTTTGATTACTTGGAGATAAAGATTGAAGGGAGGTTTGCATTTAGGAAAGGAGGGAGTGGACTCCTTTTGCTCATGCATGTTTTTGTATGATTAAGGAAGTTGTCCTGATAGATTGTTTTCTCCTTCCTTCACATGTGTTTTATCTGTTTTTCCATGTAGGTGTTACCAGTGCTATATATGGAGTAGCATTCTCTCTCATTGTCTGTGTGATTGCTGTGGCTCTCTTCACTGCTCATATCACAATCTTACTCATAGCATTCTTAACAATTGCTGGTGAGTATTCACATTGTTGATCATGTATTTGCTCCAGCAACATTACTCTGGTGACAATAGCTCCAGGCTTTATTTTGTCTAATATCTAGTGTTATGGTTAGGGTTTGCAGTTGGAATTGAGGTTTGGTTTACTGTTGAACCTATGTTGAAGGTAAGCATTTGATTGTGTATGAAATTGACTGTAGAGCAATTGTCCATGAGGCACTTGCTGTACAGTTTTGGATGTCATGAGACTCTGAAAACGGCATTTGTCATAAAGGCTAATTTTGATGACCTAATATTTCGAAAGTTTGATGCTACTTTTGAGCTGTTGGCAAAAGTCACTGCTATTAAACAAAATGTTACACACATACTTGTATCTTCAGGCTAATATTGAATTGTGGCAAAATATAATTCGAACAGGTAAATTTTCATCAAAAATAATGGATGAAATGTTCAAATATTTGGCATGTATATACCGGTATATATATATTTGCTGGAAGACACCCTCAGTCACTGAGGTTCATACAATTAACAGAGCTGCCAACCAGTACAGTTTTATCATATTTTGTAGGATTTTTAGGAGTAAATACGACAGTACGCTTTATCCTCAATAAAATACAATTTTCCACAAAAACATAAAAATTGGTGTGTGTAGCTGCCATTTTCAATAGCAAATTGCCCATTCTCTCTTGTAAAGTATCCTACAAGCATTTCACATCAATAATTTGGGGATGTTCATTGGTACATCGAACACACCAGTCATGACAAAATCATGCATATTCAACCAATGGTCCATTCAAAAATTCTTCCTGTATGTTGGAACTTGCCCCCCCCCCCCCCCCAACAATATCAAATAAAAAGCATGCTTGCGTTGAGAAAGTATTTTTCGATCAAAGATCAAAAATAGGATTTTTAGTTTATATTTAGGATTTTTTGGGGGAAAAAATAGAATTTTTGTTCAGTTTGGGTTGGCAGCTTTTCAGATTAAAATGCACACACAATTGTCTGTTGATTTTACCCACACCAATGACACTTAAATTTAGATATCTGGCCACGATCTAGATTATTTTGTAACTATCTCTCTTTTTTTGTTGAAATTCCCTTTCTTTCCTTCAGGTGTGATCTTGGTGGTTGTGAGCATGTTCTATCTGTTAGGATGGCAGATGGGTGCAGTAGAAGCTGTATCTCTCTCAATCCTCGTTGGTTCATCCATCGACTACTGCATCCATCTTGTGGAGGGTTATCGGGTTGCTGGTTGTCAGGTCAAGATGGATTCCGGAAAGGTTGGCTTTGTTACTATTATATTGTAGTAATATTGCCACTCAAAGGAAATAGAAATAAATGTTATAAAAAGTGCCACTGCAGACAAACTGGGGGCTTTTGAGATTTATTCTACAGGACATGAAACCTAATGGTTTCAAGGCAAGAAAGGTGGACACTGTTGACAGATGGCCCTTATCGAAAGGTGGTCACTAAAGACAGGTTTGACTTATCTTTTATTATGCCTCCATTACGAGGTAGCCGGAGCCATTATGTTTTGGGGTTGTCCGTCCATACGTCTGTACGTCCCGTTCTCGTGATCGCGTGATCGCGTTATCTCAAAAACTGATTGATGGATTCCTGCCAAACTTAGGTCATGTATGTATCTTGCAGAGCTAAATGAACTAAGTAGATTTTGGGGTCACAAGGTCAAAGGTCACAGTGCTCATTATGTATGCAAAAATAGCTAGTGATTATCATTATCATTAAAACCGATTGACGGATTACTATCAAACTCCAGATATGTATGTATCTTGCTAAGCCAATGATCTGATTAGATTTTGGGGTCATGAGGTCAAAGGTCATGGGGCTCATTGTGTATGCATAAATAACTTGTGAATGCATTCTCATTAGAACTGATTTTTAGGGTCATGAGGTCTAAGATCAAAGGATCTTACATGTATATGCATTATCATTAGAACGGATGGATGGATTACTATCAAACTCAGGACATGTATGTATCTTGCAGAGCCAATAGTTTGTAATCACAATATTCTGAGAGCGTCGTAATGGATTTCTATCAAACTTGAATTATAAAAAATTGCTTCTACTTTGGTTTGTAAAATCGCTCTGTGGCGGAGGCATAGAAGATCCACCTAGTTGTTTTCTACTGGTAATTTCTTTTCAAGTGTTATAAGATAATCAGATTACAAATGTATCTTCTTTTTTATTATTAATTTACTAGAGCGCAAGACAAATCCGTCAACAGCGGACCATCCACTCCATCAGCACCATCGGTGTTTCAATTTTGTCTAGCGCCCTCACCACCATCATCGCTGCCATCCCACTATGCTTCACAACCATCCAGCTCTTTGCCAAGTTCGGTCAAATCGTGGCCCTCAACACCCTTGTGTCCATCATATACACCCTGACGTCCTGCACGGCTTTTCTTGGCTGCTTTGCTCCAGCGCGCTACAAGTGGAATTTGCGCGGGTTGCTGCTGACGTTGGTTATTGTCGGACTGGTGCTTGGGGCAGGTGTGGTGGCGCTCTTCGTCATGCATCATCATGGCATCACGATACCTGGACCGTCAGGAGACACCCTATTTGGATGATGATGTCTTCGTACAATGTGGTATTCCTTTTGAACATTGTGCAACAAGTTTGTGTGATATAAATGCTTCCATCCTAAAAAGTTAAAGTTAGGCAAAACTAGGCTTTAAAATGTAGGCTACTCGAAATGAACAATTGAATTATTTTTTCAAACTATATACACGTATGGTTTGCAACAATGGAAATGGGTAATGAAAGGTAATAATGAATATTATGTATAGATGACAATGCTATGCTGCTAAAGAGGCTTTAAAGTGTCTTGTTTAGATATGGTATGGTAAACTGCTGCAAAAAACCCACATCAGTTATTTTTTAACGTAAAATGAATAGCATCTGCGTGCAAAAAGGGACTTGCATGCATGTATTCACTGAGCTCTGTGATATCAGATTCAGAAAGGGACTTGCGTGCATGTATTCACCGAGCTCTGTGATATCAGATTCAAAAAGGGACTTGCATGCATGTATTCACTGAGCTCTGTGATATCAGATTCAGAAAGGGACTTGCATGCATGTATTCACTGAGCTCTGTGATATCAGATTCAGAAAGGGACTTGCATGCATGTATTCACTGAGCTCTGTGATATCAGATTCAGAAAGGGACTTGCATGCATGTATTCACTGAGCTCTGTGATATCAGATTCAGAAAGGGACTTGCATGCATGTATTCACTGAGCTCTGTGATATAAGATTCAGAAAGGGACTTGCATGCATGTATTCACTGAGCTCTGTGATATCAGATTCAGAAAGGGACTTGCATGCATGTATTCACTGAGCTCTGTGATATAAGATTCAGAAAGGGACTTGCATGCATGTATTCACTGAGCTCTGTGATATAAGATTCAAAAAGGGACTTGCATGCATGTATTCACTGAGCTCTGTGATATAAGATTCAGAAATGTGAAGCATATTAAATTTCACATCATTAAAAAACGATGTAGTTTTGCCGCATCATTTCTGAACAAAGCCTTAGATGTTCCTAAATTGAAATATCCTCTGTGGAACTATTATATAAGAGGTACATGTAGTGCTAATTATTAGAGGACGCTATGCTGCAAATTATGCTTTAACGTAAAGTTTGTAATGGCCATGCAGAGCAATAGAAGTTTGTGATATTACATGATGTTATTAATATACCATGTAATTTGGTTGCTGAATGAAATTATTCTGTGGAACTGTATTATTTAGACAGAGGACATGGTTTTGTTGGTTTAGTGATTCATCCCCCGGGCACACCACTAAAGTGACTCCAGACTGACCATTAAGCAATAAAACCTTGAATGCATGTCCGGTATGTTGCCAGTGTTGTGGCCATCTCGTTTGTGTTACTGGGTATCATGGGTGCTCATTAAAGGTAATACAAAGTTCATGAATGTGGTTCAAATAAACATATTGGAAGCATATGCGTTCCTACAATATTCAGTGATCGTTGTCGCGGTTGAAATGGAGTCTAAAGATATGAAATTGTAAATAATAAACTCTCTATGTTGTATAGCTCCCTCTCAAGGTCAAGATATTAATTAAGCTATAAAACAATGTTTCTTGACTAAAATTGACCAATTAGCTATTCCTGTTTGGAAATTATATATCACAACTACATATTCTGTGATTTTTATGGTCACAGCTACCATTGTACGGCCGTAGGCGCTATTTGAAATTCATCAAAATTTACCGGGAGCATCGGTAAATTTTTATATTCATTTTTTCCTTGAAAGCAGAAGTGTTTTAAGGGCTAAATTTTCTAGTGCTTATAATACATCCACAGGGGCATCCAAATATATCAAAATTGTAGACAATCACTATCCACCCAATTTTCAAAATTTCCCAAAACTTTGTATTACCTTTAATCTATCTGGTTGAACCAACAGATTATTTGACAGGGTAAAAACTCAGTCACGTCATCTAACTAGAGACTGACTCAAAACAGATAATAATAATATTTAATTTTTATATAGCACTTCATACAAATGTTTCTAAGCGCTTTACAAATATACTGTTACCCCGGTCAATGGATTCAGTGCTTGCCCGCACACACTGTATGCACAATCTCCACTCCCTGGGGAGTATTCCAGCCAGGCGTTACTTGACGCTCAAAAACTGTTTGACTCTTGGCCTTTTTGGGTATTGTCAATTTTCAGTTGGTCATTTTTTTATTTTTGTGAAAAGTGTTGCAGGAATATGCTGCTTATTGTAAAATCACATTGGGATAATGAAGTATTCTTAGTCTAGCTTGTATCAAGCAAAGTGCTATGCTAAATGAATTTACCTCTTGTTTAAAACTTCTTGATATTTGCTATTTTAATCATTGCTGATATCAGTTTTACTTGAAGGTTATCCTCAATTTTTCCTGAATCCATGTATTGTAAATTCTTAGTTTTGCCAAGTGCCAACACATGATAGTAAAGGTACATGTATGGATATGGTTAAGTTTGAAATTGGCATTTTAGAAGCTGACTAAGCTTGTTTAGGGCAAGCTTTATATTTAGATCTGATATTATACAACTACAAAGAACTGGGTATTGTAAAATATATTGGATTAAAGTTAGGTGACTCCAACTCGAGTTGTGGCAAAATCTTTTAATATTTTGCATGTTTATTACTGTGTAAAATATCATATTCTCAATGTTTACTCCTGGAAAAGAGAACCACGCAAGTGCAAATATGTAGCTAGGATTTATGTAAAAGAAGGAAGGATAGAGACATTACATGTATGTGCAATTAAAGTACCGGTAGTTACTTTTTTGAAATATTAAGTGGTTGTGAAATATTTTTTTTGAAAGAGCAGGTTACCAATTTGTTTTATATTTTATATTTTATGAAAGTTGCTAAATATTAATGTGTAGAGCAGGTCTCATCATGTCACAATTTTTACAAATCTTAATTTATTTTTGAGTTGTTTTCATCTCTTTATTCATCTAATATGTTGTAATTGTATGGGGAAAAAATAATGGAAAATATAAAAAAAAATCTATTATGAATGTTCTTTTATCCCCCAACCTCGCTTGAATGGATGTTGGTACTTTTGAACATGTAATATAGACATTTTATTTTATTTTATTTTATTATCTCATAGTTTTTTCAATTATACATGTACAAGGTAAAAACAGAAGTTTGTTTTGGGGCTGAACTAGTATTATTTGTGACATATTTTGTATTTTTTTTTGGGGGGGGGGGGAGGGAGGGGTGGGGGTGTATAAAAAATATAAGTTATAATTTTTCTCTCATTTTAACATGTGTATTTTTTTTTAATAGTACCAGGTCAATTATGTAGGTAATTATATGATGCTGCAGTAATATCTTGTCAAGTCTGGAATTCTCGAGACATGAAATTACTCATAGAAAGCTATCAATTTATTTGTCTTTCTTTTTAACCTTTTAGCCTAGTCAGTGATTGTAAAACTGTTTTCCTTTAGGGCCCTTCTCACAAAACACATGTAGAATAATACATGCACAAGGAAATGATAAAATACACAAATCCAAGTATATTACAAATCTAGTAGCAATGTCCTGTCCAAACATGAGTTCGTTTAACACATTGGATATAATTTCATTTAAATTGTACCAATCAGCTAAAAATACAATGTGTGTACCTGGCATTCTATAGGTAAATAGTCCAGAAGTTATGAAGAATACTAGATGCCTCCGTCATATAGCGATAACAGAAGCAATTTTTCAAATTCAAGTTAAATCCATTAACAGGTTATCAGAACATTGTGATTATACAAACAAGCGCGTAACCAGGATTTCATTTTAGGGGGGGCGGTAGTGAGCATGCGAAGCGTGCTTATCACTTACAGAGCGCGCATAGCGCGCTCCCTAGGGGGGAGGGTGCAGGGAAAGCTTCGAGGTTTCATCAAATTATAAGAGAAAGAAGACGATTCGTTGGACCGTTCTCGACTCTTAATCCTTATCTAAATTCAGTTTCCGTTGACGTTTCATTAGAGAAAGAAGACGATTCGCTGTACCGTCCTCGACTCTTAATCTTTGTTTGAATCAAGTTCCCCTGCCTCCGCGCATAGCGCGGAAGCTCTGAAGTTTTATTAGATTATTAAAGAAAGAAGCCGATTCGTTGTTCCATTCTCGACTCTTAATCCTAATCTAAATTCAGTTTCTTTTGACGTTTCATTAGAGAAAGAAGATGATTCGCTGTACCGTCCTCGACTCTTAATCCTTTTATGTATCAAGTTCCCCTTCCTCCGCGGAAGCTCTGAAGTTTTATTAGATTATTAAAGAAAGAAGAAGATTCGTTGTACCATTCTCGATCGACTCCTAATCCTTGTCTGAATTCAGTTCCCCCTCCCCCCTCCCCTCCCGCGGAAGCTTTGACGTTTCATAAATTAAGAAGACGATTTGTTGTACCGTTCTCGACTCTTAATCCTTATCTGAATTCAGTTCCCCCTCCCCCCCCCTCCCCCTCCCCCCCCCCTCCCCCTCCCCTCCCGCGCGAAGCGTGGAAGCTTAGACGTTTCATTAAACTATTGGAGAAAGAATACGATTCGTTGTACCGTTCTCGACTCTTAATCCTTTTTCTTCCTACGTCCTCTTCCTTTTTTTTTTTTTCTCTGTTTTTCTTTTTTTTTTTGGCCGGCGTTTTTTGGGGGGCGACCGCCCCCACCGCCCCCCCCCCCCCCCCTGGCTACGCGCCTGTTTACAAACTATTTTTCATACACATGTATGACCCTTTATCATTGACCTCATGACCCTAAAATGTAATCAGTTCATTGGCTTTGCAAGGTACATACATGTCCGAAGTTTGATGGTAATCAGTTTTAATGATAATGCGATCACAAGCTATGTTTGCATACATAATGAGCCCCATGAACAAAATCTAATCAGTTCATTGGCTCTGCAAGATACATACATGACTTAAGTATGGCAGGAATCCATCAATGAGATAAAGCGATCAAGAGAACGGGACGTACGGACAACCCGAAAACATTATCAAGAATAACATGAATGAAAACCCCACACATACATGTAGGACCCAAGTCTGGCCTTGGTGCCATGCATACTCTATTGTATATATCGTGACTTATGCGTGTTTTGAATGGGCTGAATTGCGTGCAACGCGAATTTAAGAAGCCGCGAATATGTTATGGGGTCGCTCAGCTCGAAAAATTAATCATGCGAAAATAACACTGTTTACAGTAGTTGAAGCTCATATTTTGAATGCAGTAAAGTGTCAATTTGAGCAAAATATGTAAAGAACACATTTTATTTGTATACAATGTAACTAAGGAGGAGCACTTTAAGTGCTTGTCAGGCCTGGTGATAACACTATATGCATGTTGTCCTCAACCGTTTTAATATTTACCAGTAGATGTTTTCCTACAAGTTTATTAGCTAAGTTTGCTTGTCCTTTGCCTCATTTTATGAGAGCAGGAAATAAAATATCTTCAAATGTTTTTTTAAAAATCTTAAAGCATGTAGGTAGTTACGAAGGAACCTTGATCCAAATTAGTGCAATCTTTTTTACTGATTATTTTCTACAGAGGTGCCAGTTTTCAGGCCCTATCTATTCTCAGACCATAGTTGAGGCTTTTTTGTGTACAAAATAGCTCTTTCCAGGTGATTTTCAGGCCCTCTGATCAATTCTAACTGGCATCCGTTTCTGTTGACCTTGGGGCTTTTTTACGAGTTCCTTTGAGAACACACTCGTCCTAACTATTGAATGTACATGAATCTGGTTGCAATTAAGATCTCACAAAATAATATGGATAGACTGGCAGAGTACCAGGTATACAAAAATGTACAGAATTTAAATTCAAGCAACTCTTTGTAAATTACCGGTACTGAAATGTTGAATAAGGAAATATTGTTTACCATTGGGATGTATTCAGGATTCTGTATGTATGCGAAAAAAATTGTTAACTGTGTCATTGTTGTGATCTTT